TAGCACCACTCTAGTATATTCAGCCTGAAGAAGTAACACTCCATTCTGAAATGATAAGCAAAATCTGCGATTAAAGTACGGTTTGATACTACCTTCAGATTTCGGCAATTGTTCAGGCCAGCCATCTTGTACATATCTGCTGACACGTTGAAGAGTGTTGTCATTAGCAGTCATATCCTTTACTAATGTTGCATTTACTGGAAGATAATCCACAGCATTTTGATAAACAGTATCGACATCATCTAACATCACAACTTCCTTTCTATCAAATTGTATGTCATCCCCACACGGCAATCTGGAAAGAGCATCAGCGTTAGCATTCTGAGATGAACTTTTGAACCGTATAATGTATTCATATGCTTGAAGTACAATAGCCCAACGCTGTAAACGATGCAACGCCATCACTGGCAACTTTCTATTCTGATTAAACAGTGTTGTCAACGCTTGATGATCAGTTATTAATTCAAAACGTCTTCCATAAAGATATTGATGAAACTTGGTCACTCCATAAATTATTGCTAATTCCTCTTTTTCGATTTGAGAATAGCGTTCTTGGCTGCTGTTTAATTTTTTTGAAGCATACGCGATTGGCTTCTCTGAACCATCAGCATAACGATGTGAAATTACTGCGCCGATTCCATACTTAGATGCATCTACTGCTAACACTATAGGCTTCTTATCATCATAATGAACGAGTTCCGTAGCTTTGATCATAGCATTCTTCAATGCTTGAAAAGCATCTTCATGATATGCTGTCCATTTAAACACAGCATTCTTTTTCCTTAGTTCATTTAAAGGAGCAGCTAATATGGAAAACTGTTTAATGAATTTGTTATAATAATTAACTTTTCCAATGAAAGCTTCAACTTCTTGAATATTACGAGGACGCGGCATTAATTTGATTGCCTCTACACGTTTTCCTGTGGGCATTAATCCATTCACATTGATTACGTGTCCAACATAATCTACCTGCTCTTGCGCAAAACTACATTTTTCGCTTTTACATGTCAAGCCGTATTCTTCCAAACGTTGAAAAATTTTGAAAATATTATTCAAATGTTCTTTATTATTTCGACCTGTTACGATTATATCATCTAAATAAACTGCACAGTTCGGTATTCCAGCGGTTACTTCTTCCATAAGACGTTGAAATATGCCAGGAGCACTGGCAATACCGAATGGCAATCGTTGAAACTGGAACAAACCAAATGGCGTATTAATGACTAGAAATTCTTTTGTTGCGTCAGACAATTCTACTTGCAAGTACGCTTCACTAAGATCAATTTTTGTGAAAAATTGTCCTCCTTGAAGTTTATAAAAAAATTCCTCAACTCTAGGAATTGGATACCTGTCAATCTCAATTTGCGAGTTCACACCAATTCTGAAATCTGCACAAATACGTAATTTTCCATTTGGCTTTGACACTACAACTATAGGAGCGGCCCAGACGCTGCTTCTGATAGCTTTCAAAACTCCAATATTTACCAACCGATCAATTTCGATGCGAACGTCTTCTCTTTTCGCAAACGGCAGGTTGTATGGTTTAAAGAATTTAGGCTTAGCATCTGACTTCAATCTGATTTCAGCTTTGAACAACGTACAACGCCCCAATTTCGAAGAAAAAATGTTAGCATGTTGACATCTGAGTTCATGTAGAGATGCGGTTAAACTTTGTTGACTGTCACAAGGATTATTTGCATAACATTCAATAACAGGTAACTGCAGTTTGAAATTTAATACTGTAAACAAATCCAATCCCAGTATGTTAGTAACATATTCATCGTTAACTACAAGTATCTCAAGGCTTCGAGTAATATTTCCATACTTGACATTTACTCTGAGAGAACCCTTAAGAAAAATAACAGCTCCTCCATACGCTCTCAGAACTTTATTCGTAGGCCCACAACTAGGTCTACCCAGTTGTTTATATGCCGCCAAACCAATTAAGGAACATGTTGCACCAGTATCTACTTGAAATGTTAAAATTTCGTTATTTATATTGAGGTCAACGAAAATTTTAGATGAACTAAGTTGCGAATCAACTGATTTAACTTCCGTTGTTTCATTCGCATTAATTGACTCAAATGAAACATCACTCATAGAATATACATCTCTTGCTCTATTTTGTTCCTGTCTGCGAACCTTAAAATTAGAATTCTGCTGAATACCTGTCACTGCTGATTGACAAACTGCAGCAATATGACCTTGCTTTGTACATAACCGACACTTTGTTTTGTTCTTGTAATGATAACATTGATTTCTTTGATGTGCTTTCCCACAAGCTGGACACGATTGTCCTCCCTTCACTGAATTTCGGGACTTAATATTACTTCGATTCTGTTTAACTTTCTTACTTGAACTGTGATTAACTTCATTAACTGTTTGACTGATATCTTCACCTCTAATTTCGTTACAAGTTTTAACCGTTGCTTCATATATTGCTGCTATCTGCAGTACTTCCTCTAGCGATGGGTTTGTTTTCTGCAACGCGGCACTACGGACTTTATCGTGTGGTGTGTGTATCACAACCATATCTCGTATACAATTATCTATAAACGATTGCTGGCAAGTTTCACTAGTACATAGGAACATGCACTCTTTAGCCGCACCACGCAGTTCTGCCACCCACTCAGCATATGATTGATTTGCTTTCATTCGTATTAAATGAAATTTAAAACGTGCTGCTAATATATGCTGTTTTTCCGCAAAATGATTATCCAATTTTGCTAGTAGTTCACCAAAAGACTTATTCTCTATATTATTGTCACATAACTTTTGAATAAGTTCAAAGGTCTCTGTACCTATCCACGAAAGGAAACATGCGCGTTTTAATACATCGTCTTTCACTTGATGTGCCACAAAATGTTGATGCATCTGCTGAATATATATCGACCACTTTTCAACATTTTTCTCAAACCGTCGAAAGGTTGGAGTTGAATTAGCGGATTTTTTCCCGTTAATCACGCTTCTCAATACTTCTTCATTTTTGTTTAATATTTTCTCAAAAAATTCTTGATTTGCTAATGAGAACTCTCTTAGAACTGTCGCGAGTGCCTGAGCATCCATTTCCTCGTCGCCAACTGTTAATTTGTGTTTTTACAATTTAACTTTATTCTTATCGGAAGTCAAAAGTTAATCTATTTCTATATTTTTACAAAATGTTAAATACAGTTAATCAAATAAGAATAGCCTACTATTCAATTATGATTATACATTTCCAACAAGCTTCTATTTTATAGTTAAATTTTTATAGTTCACAAAAAAGGTTAATAGTAACTTCCCCAAGCACAAAAGAGCTACATAGCAGCAACAATACAAGGTCTCAAGTGTGTATGTTTACACAATCAACATAGGCATACAACATTGTTGTTGTAGTCCGCGGGGATCTGCTTATAAAAGCGCTTGGGGAATGGTAAAAAGCACTTGGTCGTGGAAATTAACGGGTGACTGCAGGACGTAGACACGATCTGTCTTAAAAATTGAACAACCACTTGTTTATTTTAGTGCCATGGTACTTAACCAATCAGATTTGTGGGCTTGGTACTTAGAAACACCAAACATGAACCGTTGATATCTACTTCCTAGGCTTAGAAGTCATTTTTACCGAAAGCTTTTTGTAAAAATTTATATGAGAACAAGTGCTAACATTACCACTATTTTTTGTTGTGGTGATCTATCTGATGGAACCTGTAGAAAAATGTATACCCCACAAGATGAACTAGTGAAATAGATAGCAGAAAAAAAGAAGTTTATGTGGAATAGAGAAAGGTTGGGGATATAGGTGGATGCTAATTAAAACTAACCGGAGTTAATAGTGAAAGAACTTAACTACTTTAATGAAACGGAATAATAACAACTTTATTGGAACGGAGCAATAAATTAATAGGACTTAAATTTGCATATTAGCTGGAACATAAGAACAGATTGGCGATGTAATGAAACGTAGATCTGCAATTGATGCCAAGTAATTCTTTAGTAAATGGCTATAATCTGACATCAATAAGACTAGGATAATTCTTGCTGCACGAGGAGAATATATTCCATCTCTAAATCATTTCATTGTAATGTTGAAGCTTTACGTCGTAATGCAAATACATTGACTATATGACTAGATAAAATCTTTAATTTAAGATCTAATTTATAAACGATGTAAACGATGTATAAACGATGATATTGTAAATTATTCAGATTTTAAGATAACTTCAGTATCCTCAAGGTACCGAAACTGTACTGATGCGACTAATACTAAATAATTAATAATGGCTTTTTCAACGCTGCCATAATAAAGATTTTTTTATTTTAACAACATTTACCAATATTAATTATAATTAAGATTGGTAAACATTTCTAAAAAAATTTTATGATTTATACAATCTTCATTTTTTTTTTAGGGAGAAGTAATTACATTCCTTGATGCTCATTGCGAATGTACCGAAGGATGGCTTGAACCTCTACTTGCACGGATTGTACAAAACCGTCGCACTGTTGTATGCCCAATAATTGATGTGATTTCTGATGAGACCTTTGAATATATAACTGCGTCAGATTCTACGTGGGGCGGTTTTAATTGGAAACTTAATTTTAGATGGCAAGTATTAATAAAAATGAATTGTTTTTTTCGGTTTAAATGCCATAGATAAAAGTATAAGGTGAGCATATGTCCCATTTTAAAACGGACTGTCACTTTTTAAAACTTACTGCTCCGAAACAAAAAACAGAATCTTCCCTTTTTCAGAAATAATATTTGAAATTTATAATTGATTAATCGAGTCGACTCGTTTCTGATTTTAATGGAAAATTTGGTCAATAACCCAAATAAAAAAAAAAAAACGAATGAAGGTTCTGAATTATAATTGTCACATTATATGCACGTATATATTAAAACGAAAGTTGACATTGTTGACATTCATGTATATGTAATACTTTAAACGAGTAAAATATGCTGCATACAAAATTATAATAAAAACTTGGTTGCGGAAGTATCAAGATATAATCCTGGAATCAGCCACTTATCAGTACTGGTGTCGAAGTTCAACCCTCGACTAACTGCCATTTCATTTAGCACAAATTATTTATGTGTATAGTTTTTGGTTTTTTTTATGGTTTATTAAACTTAACTATGTTCTAGGTACCGTGTTCCTCAGCGCGAAATGGAGCGCCGTAACAATGACCGTACAGCGCCTTTACGTACACCCACCATGGCTGGCGGTTTATTTTCCATTGATAAAGATTATTTCTATGAAATTGGTTCATATGATGAGGGTATGGACATATGGGGTGGTGAAAACTTAGAAATGTCATTTAGGGTAAGCATACATTTTGCCAAAATATTTAGACTACTTAATAAATATATTTTTTAATAATTGAACATTTAAGGCAGAAGTGATAACTTTTATGTATTATTGATCTTATAATGTTACTGAGATAAGTTTACTATAACTAATATAGCAACTTCTTATACCAGCATCGCCGCGGTCCTTATAATAAGTGTCTTATTTTGTATATACCATATTTTGTAATAATTTTTGAGAAAATCTAGTGTACATTTAATCGAAACACAAAATTAATTTTAATTAATATTTAGTTTTATTTGATAATTATTTGTATTTTTAAAATCCGAAATTCAAAAAACTATTTAAACAAAATATTACATACACAAAATTTATAGATTTGGCAATGTGGAGGAATATTAGAAATAATACCCTGTTCCCATGTGGGTCACGTTTTCCGTGATAAGTCACCCTACACATTCCCCGGCGGTGTTGCCAATATTGTGCTACACAATGCGGCGCGTGTTGCCGAGGTGTGGTTGGATGAGTGGCGCGATTTTTATTATGCAATGAGCTCAGGTTCGCAAAATCAAAAAAAAAATTATTAAAAAAATTAAATTGTAATATTAAAATTTTAACTTTTTACTTATCACCACTGACAATAATGCTAACCCTTCACTAACAAGCTAGAGAAAAGTATTACAAAGTACTATAACAAATACAAAAACAAAAACATTACAACAAACACTATTACTCTTTTTAAAATTAATATTCATATAAACAAATTAGTTTTGTTTTGAAAATCATTTTTTATCTGATTTTTTATTTACTGCAAATAATAATCCGTAAATAATAAAAGTAAGCGAAGATCAAGAAATAGTTTAAAAATAAAAATTCAATATTATTTTAGATTCATTTCCTCCTCGAGTCTAATTGAAATCTATTTTTAAGCTATTTTACCAATTTTTTCGTCTAATTTGAAATTGAAATTTTTAAAAATTCATATATAATGCAAAACGCACTTTTAAAAATTTTTTACCAACAGATATAATTTTTTGTTTAGCTGCCGTTGAATTTTGTGCTCATTTTTCTATCTCAACACTTTTGATGTAAATTTATTGGATTCATTTTTGTATTTTTTTAATAAAATTAAGAATTTCTTTGTTGAAAGTTGGAATTAAACTAACACATACACATACAAACACGCTCAATATCACATATGGCTAAATAAAATTATGAATTTCTTACAACGCAGGACTTTACGCCAATTTGTTAAGCTAACATTGTTTTTATTGAGTAAAGTTTGAGTAAAATTTAATCATATTTTATCTTATAATATTGATTTGTATGGATTGGTTAATATATTTTGTACTTAAGCTAAAAATTACTCTTTTGCTAATTTGGAACCTAACAAATTATTTAAATTTTATTGTAATTAAATTAAAGTGACTAATTTTTAAATAACTGCCATCACAGCTCTCGTATAATTAGAATTTGTTTTTGTAAGGCTCGCGCTAATTCTGTGTAAGGATATTTGGTTTATTAGGTTAGCATGCAAGGGTCTCTCTTTATGGGTCTTTAAAATAACACGGACTATAAAAAATGCCAATAATTAAAGTAACTGAAGTACTAAATAACATTTTAAAGTTCACAACATCATATAAGCAAATTTGTTGTTACCAATTTTTACATATCAGAATTGGTTTTTATATTTTTTGAATATAAATGTAAATATAAATATAATTATAACTATAAATATAAATATAAATATAAATATAAATATAAATATAAATATAAATATAAATATAAATATAAATATAAATATAATTAAATATAAATATAAATATAAAATATAAATATAAATATAAATATAAATATAAATATAAATATAAATATAAATATAAATATAATATAAATATAAATATAATATAATATATAAATATATAAATATAATATAAATATAAATATAAATATAAATATAAATATAAATATAAATATAAATATAAATATAAATATAAATATAAATATAAACATAAATATAAATTTATTGTTTATTTATTAGCTGGCTATAGGTCACTTTTATTTCAATAAAATTAAAAATCCTTTATTGCTGTTTTATTAAAAAATTCTATATTTCGACTCTTTGAGAGTCGAATATGGACAATAGGCAACTGAAGAACTATAATGGAATCTCAAAGAGAGTCGAAATTTTTTAATAAAACAGCAATAAAGGATTTTTAATTTTATTAAAATAAAAGCGACCTATAGCCAGCTAATAAATAAACAATAAAATCATTATACACAGGTCGAATCCAGGTCGATAAACAAATTTAAAGTTTAATAGCATAAATATAATTGTAATCAAATTATATAAAGTAGATCGAATCCAAAAAAAGTTTTTTTTTTCTTAAAGTATGCTTAGGGTTAACTTCTTTTATTGCCCTGTACATACTAATTAATTTAATCATAATAGATTTTGCGACTCCCAACTATTGAAAGTTTAAGATATTCCACAAGATAGCTATTACATAAATCAACTAAATCTAATAATATACCTGAACTTATACTCTATACCGAAACGAGAAGATTGTATTTACACAAAAAGCTCCAAACTAGACAATAAGGTTGGGGTTTGGATTTAATCTGCTGCTTGGCATTTATTAGCAGTAGATATTATTAGATATTAGCTAAGCAGCAATCAAAGACTTATTTAAGATATGTTTCAAATCCATATTGTATGTACTCTTTTATATTGCATCTCTAAACAAGATTAGTAGATACAACAATGTATTTATCGTCAAGATACTAATCACTATATAATAACTACCACGGTAACTATAAACCTATACCATTCTTTCCTCAATAAGTCACAAGTTAAGTAACAAAACGAGATCACTTACTCCTAATAGATCTGCAACTAGAATGTTATTAAACCTGAATAGGATTAAAATTGGTAATATTATATTCTTGGAATTTTAACCAACAATATTTGTGGCCTATGATAAGAGAATAAATAAATATCTATTACAGTCTCCTTCGGTAAGCTCTTTCTTGAACACCCTGAAATATTATTGTGTAGCTACTCATTCAATTATAAATTTATTACAGAACTATTTTAGAAAACCGAATGACTATATGGGAGGACATGGTAAAACAAGAATTCTAAATAACGGAACAGATTTTAGGCCTATGTGAAGAATATCTCAAAATTGTCTTTTAAGCTAACCTACACAATAATAATATAACATATAATATAACATTAAATATGAAAATATCGAGTTTATAATACAAGTAATATAATATTGAATGTAATATACTATATACAATACGAATGTAATATTATACCTATACCATAACATAATCCTTAAATGCAAAAAGAGTAATTGATGTATAAATTAAACCATTTTTAGATTTATTTTAACTTTCAATATTTTTTGAAACAATATTGCTTATATGATTAAACATCTCTTTATTCTAAATATGACCACAATATAACTGGTATAAAATATATTCATATAAACATATTAAACGTCAAATATCGAATTTTGGGTATCAAGAATTGGAAGGAATTCATTTTTAAGTCTCATTCTAATTACTAGCTTATATGTTTAATGTTTAAAATTATTAAACAAACTAAGGCTAAATTTATAAAAACTTCAATAAAATTTTCATTTATTATTTTTTCTCTTTCTCTATTTCTTTCATTTAATTCCTCACTCGTACATATGGTGTTATAATAATCTTATATGTCAACGCCTATTATTAATAAATAATAATGTGGGTATCTAACATAAATACAAATCTTCAAAAAAAAAAAAAAAACTCCAAACAATTACATTGGAGACTTGTTTAGGTTTGGATGTGTGGCGGTGTGCTAGAAATTGCGCCTTGTTCACGTGTCGGTCATGTGTTTCGTAAATCGACGCCATATACATTTCCTGGTGGCACTACAGAAATTGTCAACCATAACAATGCGCGTCTGGTTGAGGTGTGGCTGGACGATTGGAAAGAATTTTACTACAGTTTTTATCCAGGTTATTTTAATTATTAAAAAAAAAGATAAAGATAAATCAAATTCACGAATCTCCTAAAATAATTGTACAAATGAATTTATTTTATTGACTTCTATATAGAAGCTTTTATATATAAAATCAATAAAATAAATCACGCTGAGAGTACAAATAACATGCAATTTGTTTCTCAAATCACAATTCACCTTTACCTAATCCTCCTTCTTTTTTACGTCTATTAGTTTCCCAAGTAAGAGTTCTATGAATTAATTCCACACTCTCCATACATTAAGACCGAAAAGTTTTCGGAAATTCTCATTTAAAATTCGCGCGCTGTATATTTTTCGATATTTTAAGTTTATGTAGTTTGGCAGCACTGTCCTTAATTACTATGCCAAAAATGAGCGCGATCTGTCAGACAGTTCGTTTACGGCAGCTGTTGAAACCAGTTCACCTCAGTAGGGCGTTGCGAAAAAAACAATGGAAAAAAATATTGAACAAAGAGTTTGCATCAAATTTTGTGTTTCGAACGAAATTTCGTGTGCAGAATCGTTGCGAATGCTACAAAAGGCTTATGGGGAATCAGTTTTATCGAAAACTCAAGTTTATGAGTGGTACAAAGCCTTCCAGGACGGTCGTACGACCGTCGAAGACATTTCGCAACGCACTACTGAGGTGAACTGGTTTCAACAGCTGCCGTAAACGAACTGTCTGACAGATCGAGCTCATTTTTGGCATAGTAATTAAGGACAGTGCTGCCAAACTACATAAACTTAAAATATCGAAAAATATACAGCGCGCGAATTTTAAATGAGAATTTCCGAAAACTTTTCAGTCTTAATGTACATATACACACCACAGCATTTGCATTTTCGCATTTCAAAGTCTTTATTATATGTTATATATCATTTTTGATTTTATGTAAAAAATTTTTTTTATCGTTTAATGTTTTGTGTACATTTTGTGTTAGTAGTTTTTGCAACATACGATTTGTTTTGTTTGTGTTTCTTTATATAAAACCACCACATGACCTGACCAGCAAACCTACCAATCCATGAACGAACCACTTACGTTCTCTACTTTAATCAGTGTTTTCTTTTTACATTTAGTTAGGCCTCTGCATACTCTGCATACTCTGTACTTATTGTATATTTTATTGATAATTTTGTATGTATAAAGAAATGACTATACATTTATAATGTGTGTTCTTATAAATATTTATATTTCCAAAACTCTGTCTTATATTTTTTATTTATAATTTTATCTTATTTTTACTTTTTCATATTAATGTCGGCATATTCATTTGGTTCTTACTCGTAGTACGTGAAATGCATGCTTTTCAATATATAATCTAAGTCGACGATTCTGGGCTCTGCAGTAATGTTTATGCTTTTTAATTTGAATCGGTGTAGTGTAATCTTTAATGTATTCAATTATGTACTAAGCTAATTACTAAGTGCTTCTTACTAACTCTTTTACCTAACTTTAGTAGTAAATATAAATATTTGCACTTTTTAACATCTACATTTATGAGCACAAAACATAGACGCTTTTAGTACTTTAAGGACACTCTAATCCAATCCGATTGACATTAATGAAAAATATTTATATGTATATTGTGAAGAAAAATTATATACTAATACCTAATAAAAAAAAGAAAACAAAAAAAAGTTTATTAGGATAACATAAGAAATGTTGTTTAAAAATTATTGCATTTTATCTGATTTTCTGTGAGATTATATGGCAAATACCGAAAGGTTATAAGTTACCCCGTTTATGTATCGCTTTAAATCAGGCTAATTCGAACCGATTTAGTTTAGAGACACATGTAGTAAAACATATTTGAACCGTATCGATACTTTTACCACAAAAATACATTAAAAATGCATATATATATTTCCAACCAGTATTAAGTGAATCATACCAACCCATAAATATGATTATTTATATTATCTATAGCTTTCCTTAACTTTAGTAAAATATATCTTACTTTTATATTCCTATTAAAAATAAATAAATATGCTTTTATTATTTGTACTAGACTATTCAATAAATACACGAATTGAAAATGAAAACGTTTTTCCGCAAAATCAGCACAATTTTTTCAACGAAAATACCCTTAATACTTGTCATTGTGTCTTCATTTGTTGAAAATCATTTTCCACAGAAGAATTATTTAAGGTTGAGAAGAGGCAACAGTTCGTGATTTACTTCAGTGATTTTAGTATATTGTTTTCATCGAAAATGATCAAAATGATTATTTTTTCTCATTAAACTGTACCTTTTTTTCCACAACATTTAATAACCAATTGATCTAAATGATTCCAATAAAAATATGAGTTTATTGTTTAATCAACAAAATTTTTTCTGCTCTCTAAAACAAATGACGCTTTCTGCCTGATTCCTGGACACGAACTAGCTTCACAACCTAAATGCTAGGTCATACCACTTCTAAGCCTCTTTCATTAAATCATTATTACTCGCGTTCGTCGTTGTTTTTTCAAACTTTTTAAAACCCAAAACTTGACAGTGCTTATTAAAAATGGTTCTATTGAATCTTTCTCGGTCAATTAACAAACTACAAAACTAAGTCCTGTATTCTAACAACTAGTACTTTATATTGACCGTCTTCTGTATTAGTACGACCTTTAGATACCTTAGATACATTTATCATTTTGATTTCAATTTTAAGGGTCTTCAAATGCATTTTTTATTTGCAAAAAATTTATTAAAGGTTAAGAAATACATTGACACGTCAACCTTAAATTGCTTGTTAACAATAAATTAGTTAACAGACCAAAATTAATTATATTTTGGCTACACTCCATGGCAAGATTAAGTATTAGATAAAGTCCAGGTTTTAGGTTTGCTATTGACAGTAATAAGGACTTCGTGTATTTTTTTAACAATCTAATATAAATCGTTCTTTTCTTTAAAATATATAAAAATACGTATCTGTGTATGATTCAGATTTCTAAACTAATTAGACTTTTCTTTCTTGTATAAGTATTTACTATGTTATTGTTTCTCAGACAGATTACAGAATATTTGTTTAACTGACTCCGTGTAGGTGAACATTTATATTTTAATGCGGTCGTAGTTAAGGACTGGTTTACTGTTAATATATTATTATATAATGATATATATTATATAATATATATTTAATATATATTATATATAATATATATTTATATATATAATATATTTATATTATATTATATTATATTGTATTATTATATAATAATATTATTACAATTATTATAATAATAATATTATTATAATTATTATAATAATATTTATATTCATTTTCGTAAAAAATTAAGTCAAGTTTTGTGATATACTCATACATTTTTTAAAATTATAGAAGCTATATATTGTAACTTCTACTGCTTAAAAAACTAATTATTTAAAACTATTGTCGTGAAATTGCCCAATAGCCTTTACTGCGGCCAGAGGAGTCCTGTTGAACCAAAACTTTTAATGCTTAATAGAACTCTCATATAAAATACTAGCGCATAAATGATATAAGAAAAACACCTAGTTGTCTATTTAATAATCATAATGATCGTTTGTGTTACGGTATCACAGCGGTCCTAATAAGTAAAGTACATTACAATATGCGAAAATCGCCATTTAATTCAACATAGCATATATATTTGTCATTAGATTTAAAAATCTTTCTTTCACTTTTAAATATTCGCACTGAAAATCATTCAATTTCTTAGCAATAGTTTTTTGTAATGCAATTTAATTTTTGTTTTTTTTTATTAATTTTTTAAAAAATAATAAAACTGTTATATTAAAATAATATACCTATACAAATTCGAAATAGATAATCACGAGCAAATAATCTAAATGACGCACTTCCGTAAACGCATTATAATGCCTACATAAACGGGTGCTTCGTTCCTTATATAAACTAAAAAAATTTCTGTAGCTTTTTTTACTTGTGTAAAAGCACTTTCACACATTAACACGATCATTACACTTTTACGAGACACTACCATTTTCTCACAAACTTTTCATTTTTTATTTAAACAATTCTGGATAATATTCATTTATATATGTTTTTATTATTAAATACCTTTTTGAACTGTGACAGGAGCACGTAAAGCTTCTGCTGGTGATGTTAGTGATCGCAAAGCTTTAAGAGACCGCCTAAGATGTAAGAGCTTCCGCTGGTACCTGGAGAACATATATCCTGAGTCCTTGATGCCATTGGATTATTATTATCTTGGCGAGGTAAGTTAAATATATTTTTAATTTAGTATATTTGTTTTTATATTATTCTTTACTGAAAAATATTCATTCGTCGATCTTTTTCTTCTTTACCACACATATATTAACACCTATTGCAATGAAAATAACATCTGTATGATCGAATACAAACGATATCACTCATAGTGCACCACATATATACAGTATACTCTTCGAGATCTAGGTTGACTCACAACAAGGTTCTTAACAGGCGTCTGCCTAAAATCACTCCAGAAGAACGGCGGCTTCCCCGTGCAGCAAGAATATAGCCAATTGTTAAACAGTTACTTGCCATGGCTAAACACGTCTATTCCTAATGTATGCCCAAACTGCAGCTCTACCTCTCATGACGTAGCCCATTTGTTCTCTTTCCCCTCTTCGCGTGCAAATATTTGTCCAATTGACCCAACCTTTTGAAATTCCCACCCACCCTATACTCCCCCACCATCACCCATCCACTTCCCAACCCTTGTATTCGTGTTGTAAACTTTACAAGTTTTCTGCTTTTTAGGTCCTAACGGGCTACTGTAACAACAATAACAACACTAAATGTTAAAGACAAGACCTTAAGAGCCAAAATATGTTACAGCTATTCCCATTTCATTTAACTAATCAGTACAATATTTTTATATTCAAATGACTCGCATCCTGACTAATCTGCGTCTGGCTAACGCATCCATCAACTCAGTTTAGCATTCGGTCCAGAAACACCACATCCAGCGACTGTAAAACACTGGTTCAATGATTTCAAGCGTGATCATCGATTTCTCTACTACGAATTTTGTGAAGGTCGTTCAAGAATGGCTGTTGAGATGAATCGACAGCGTTCTTTGGGCATTAGCATACATTTCAATTTGCTTATACATTTAGCTTTCAAAACGATTTGTTTTCGTTTGACCCCCAGAATCTGACAATCGCTCAAAAGAAGACACTTGTTGATTGGTGCTAGGAAAGACTGAAAAAGCTCGGCCGAGGTGGCTCGAAACACGTCTACGACATCGCGACAGGTGACGAATCATGGATCTATGGGTATGAGTCCAAAACAAAACAACAATCCACTGTTTGAGTATTCTAAAGTGAGCAAAACTGGACAAAACTGGCACGTATTTTCAGATAAATCGGCCATGTCGCAACTGTACTACTTGATCTACGTAGAACGGTCAATTCTCAGTGGTATACAACCATTTGTTTGCTGTAAATATTCAACGAATTGATGAGTTTAAACACATCAGCTCAAATAAAAAGTTTTTAAACACTTAAAACGTCAAATTAATGAGTTATCCGCCTTACAGTCCCGACTTAGTACCAATCACTTCTTCTTGTTTCCAAACATTAAGAAAAATATATTTGGCGAACGTTTTTCTACGCGCGAACAGGTCGTTGAGACATTCAAAACGCTGATTTTGAATTTTGGTTTTGGAAACTGTTCCGAAAATTGATTGAATTGAATGCAAAAATATATTGATCATAATGGAAAATACTTTGAAAACCAATAAAACCATTTTCACTGATTAACTGTGTTTTCATTGTTAAATGCAAGACATAAAAGGCAGCCCTCGTGTAAGGTTAAATGTGGTTAGAGTTTATTATTATTTTGTAATTCACTATCTCTTCAATCTTCAGCAAATCTTTTAATACATTGTCTATCTTTAATATATATTGCATTCTGCTACCAATAGATACGAAATGCTGATACACAAACCTGTCTGGACACTATGGGTCGTAAATATGGTGAACAAATTGGGGTTAGTTACTGCCACGGCTATGGCGGTAATCAGGTGTTCGCTTACACAAAACGTCAACAAATTATGTCAGATGATTTATGCTTGGATGCATCAAAAGCTATGGGTCCAGTTAATATGGTGCGTTGCCATAACATGGGCGGCAATCAGGAATGGGTCTATGATGCAGAGGTAATTCATAATCTGTTTTAAATTTTTATTTTTTATGTATCATTAATATGTAAATACTCTTTCATATGCGTTTTAAGGACCAAACAATACGGCATACAAACACAAACAATTGTCTACAACGTCCATCACGAGAAGATCCAAGCAATCCACTACTACGTCCATGCAATTATAGCAAAGGCCAGAAATGGTTGATGGAGTCGAAATTTAAATGGCAGGCTCATTAGTTGTTACTTTTATATTGGAACATAAATTTCACAATACAGAATTTAGTTACATTTTATCATGTTCTATGTATATTAATTCTTTGTTTTATTATTTTGATTTGTTCTGAATATATATTCTTAAAGTATATAATGAAAAAATTGTAAAATAACTAAAAGTACTAGCGCGGTTAAAAATTTAAATTTTTATATATATTATTATATAAAAAGAAATTTGTTACACTCTTTAATGACCTTTTTTGCATGTTGAAAATAAAATTATATTTTTTAAAAATTATTCTTTTTATGCTTTAATTATTATAATTAAAGTAAAACTATTTAAAGTTTAACAATAATTAAGACTAGTTAAATAAAAAATCATTTGCTATGTAAAGTCTTCCCTACTTAATGTATATAAGCATATGCATAAATATGAGAGCATAAATAGTATAAGATATGTCAATATATCCAATAAAAAAATATACAAATAAATATATATATTTATATAGCAAGATATAATATAATATATATATATATGTGCATACATACATATATGTATATATATGTATGTATATACATATATGTATATATATGTACGTATATACATATATGTACGTATATGTATATATATATGTATATATAAGTATATATATGTATATATATGTATATATAAGTATATATATGTATATATAAGTATATATATGTATATATAAGTATATATAAGTATATATATGTATATATAAGTATATATATGTATATATAAGTATATATATGTATATATAAGTATATATATGTATATATAAGTATATATATGTATATATATGTATATATATATGCATATATATATATATATATGTATATATAAGTATATATATGTATATATAACTATATATATGTATATATATGTATATATATATGCATATATATATATATATATATATATATGCATATATATGTATATATATATATATGCATATATTTAAATTTGTGTGTGTGTGTGTGTGTGTATATATATATGCAGCTATAATAATATATATTACATATATATATATATATATATATATATACATTAATTAAATATGAATTAAACATATAAGTGTATTTATATTTACTTATATAAAATATATATATTATATATTTCTACATATATATATATATGTATAAATTTTGTTTTTCTTTTATAATTTTGTACACAGAATATAAAGAAATAATTAAATAAACACGATAAATGAATAGTTTAACAATAAATATGTTTTAATCTCTAATTTAAGATAATAGAAAAATTATTTTAAATATGTTTTAAAGCTGTTATATATTAATTTAAAGAAATACTTTTTGTAATGTATTTGTACAGTGCTATTATATAAATAAGCATAAATAAAAATGAACTCATTTTTAAAATAATTTTATATAAAAATTAACAGAATTTAACAAAAACTATTATTTAATAAGTTTATGATATATTGATAGTAAAAAGTAACAATAGATCTATATTTATATATAAATATATATAACTAATGCATATATATTTATATATGTATAAATTTAAGCGAAACGTACCAACAAATTGGCATTTAGCAATGTAGTTTTTCTATTCATTATGTAAAGTGCAAAGATTTATAAAATTTAATTATAATATAACGAAAAACATATTCAAAATATTCATAGAATTAGTTTAAGCTCAAAATTACAATATTATAAAAAAGTCAAAACTATAAATTAGAAAATAGCGCCGTTATCATAGAAACCTGTCGATAAATACATTTTTATATTAAGTATGAAATAATTTATATAAATTGTAGCTAGTTTCAATTTTAAATTGTTGTATAAATACTAGGTTTGAATAAATTCCATTTTTCTTTACTAAAAATCAGTTAGTATGAAAGTTTTTTTTTTAGACGATTTGTGATTTATTAAAAAGTAAATCAATTAATAAATATATAGTTAGATAAAACCATTGGAAGTAAATCCAAAATCACAGTGAAAAAAAGTACTAAATATCTTTAATATACTAAAAACAACTAAGTTCTATTATTTGATTCCCAGCATTCTTTTTAATAACGTAGGAATATCACATATTGTTTCCAATCTGTTTTGTTGGAAGTGATTGTTTTTAGTTTTATTAAACTTTTATTGTTTTGCATTAGTTCTATGGTGGGTTGGCGTCTTCAATTGTGAGTACAAGTAATTAGCTTCCAAATTGCGTAGGATTAATTTAGTTGACCTGTAAGCTACACATTGAATTTTAGTGCCTAACAATACCAGATGCAGTAGGTGCTAAGTGATTAGAAATTATATTTATTCTATCAAATAATCAAAACTTGATTAATCATCAGCATAATTGTTAAAATTAGAATGTATGATATATATTAAGTGTATCAGTTTTGTGCTTTGTGAGAAGTCTTTCTCTATTATAAGAAGATTACACGTACTTTACTCAAATTTTTGATCGCAACAACTCCGATAGTAAAAATTTACTATGAATGCAGACTTTTTAGCGTAAAGTCTAAGTTTGTCGTGTGACAAGCATGTTACTTTACTGTTACTTGTTACTGATATCGTATAATCGTAATGAATTTGTTGTTATTGCAGTAACGAAGAAACCAACTGGTATTGTCCCTGATGAATGATGTTAGCGATATTTAGTGGTTATAAAGATTTTTGACTTCGATCGTTGCTGGATTCATAAATACATTACTCACTTTGAGGTTAAACTAAGTAATGTATAAAACTAATGCTATTCACTTCCATTGTTGTCATTCTGATTCCTCTTTTTATATTTAGCACACTTTTCAGGTAGCAATGGGAGACCCAATCAATATATATATATAGAACTTAGTACGTTTGCTTTTTACTCTCAGTTCTTATCTCAAATATATAAATAATAATCTATTTACAAACAATATTGTATGATTTATTGGCATAAATATGAAACATGATATACATACATAAATATGTATATATTGAATTTAATCTTTTCTTATAAATAATTGACTTTCACAATAAAATTTGTTTTTCGAAATATTTATCTCTTTTAACCATCACAATATATTTATTTAAAAACATTCCCGGTCAAAAAACCTTTCGCATAGGAGATGATTCATTAAAAAAACTAAATTTTATTTAATTTAAAAAAAGAAATATTATTTTTATTGTACATCGGCATAAGTATCTTGGCGTGAAATAAATAAAAAATTAATGAAATAATAAAAAATTAACTAATTTTTATAAATAAATAAATTTTATACTATATCAATGGTTGTATTTGTTAAGTAAAAAAATATAATTATAAAAATACAATTATAATATTGTTAATATATGTAATTAAATTACATATACTACATATACAAATACTAAAATCTAACATAATAGTCGTTAACAAATTTTAAATTAAAAAAATCTATCATAAGATATTTAGTATTTAATACATTATCTAATTTATATATATATATATAATTTTTAACTATATAGAAGTGTGTATAATACAGAAATGACTTTCACTACGTATTTTATATTGTATACTTTTAATTTTTTTCTGTCATTTTTATTTCAATAAAAACACAATATATATATGTGCATATACATATAAATCTTCTTAATGTGTGACATATAAGATCGGATAAAAACTATACAACGAGTCTGTAAAACTGGCAATTTTGTTAACTTAATACAATATTAAGAGGTCGCGTACGTATTAAAATTTAATAATTAATAATTATAAAATGCTTCAATATACTTTTGAGATATCTCTCTAAGATCGTTCTAAGCTGTTGCGTATATCAAAATTGTTGAAAAATACTAAGATTTTCTTTATGCTAGATAAAAATTTGTATACAGAAAAATTTTTTTAAGCTTGTATATACTTAGTATATAGCAAGTATAGTTTTTTATTTTTAATAATAGATTTTATGTATATATAATTTTTAATTAAATTTTTAATCACAACTCTTACCTGACACATAAATAGTGCCGTTTATTATTATCGTGTATAGATGGTTCAAAGGATTTCTTAAAACACTTTATACTACATTACGTGCATAATAAGCTTAGAATATTCTAAAGCAATATTTGGTAAGTGTATCTACGAGTATACCATATATGGATTACTCTCTCATAACCATATACCTAATGCACTTTCTTTTTGGAAATTAATAAGAGTATAGTGAGCTTCCCCTCTTTGTCGTATACGTCGATTATATTCTTCGTGTCAAGGATGCATTATTTATTACCATATTACCACAATAGAGATAACATTAACGAAGTCGAATAATGATAAAAGCTATCAGTCCTTTGCAGTATTAATGCTGTATCATTTTCAGGAACACTCCAACCGTGTTCCCAACGTTTGGATCCCAACGAAAATCTTAACATGTGTCCGCCAATAGTCCCTTGTGACCAACTATGAAACTCACATGTTACAAATTAACTTTCAGTATAATATTAAATTTACTTATGTCAATTTCTTATTATAAATTATATTTTAAACTTAATTGGTCTATATTATATTCTATATAAATTTTAATATCATTATAGGATACTGTTTTTACTCTTAATTTGAATTATATATTACGATATTATGACTTTATACTGCAATAACTATAAGAATGAATTTGTTTTATTCTATTTTAATTTGACTAGAATTAAAACACTAGCATATGTACTGCAAGGATTTAATGATAAAAAAAGTAAAGTATGTATATAAATAAATATGTCAGCGCATATCGAAATACAATAAAATTACCTAAATGTTTCTATATAATTAGGTAAACGTATATTAAATATAATATATATATTAATATATATAGCATAATATAAATTATATATATATATATATATATATAAATGTATATATAAATATGATTATGTTTTAGATACTTAATAATTATGTATTTATAAATATATGTTCGTATATTTATATTATACAAAGAGCTAAAATATTTCAACAAAAAAATTCATTATGTAAATACAAACTAAAAAATATGCCATAATTTTTCAAAAAATGATTTTTAATTTTAAAATATATTTTAAAATCTGTTTGTTTTTAAATAACACACAAGTTATAAAAGTTTTGTGCTTCTTTATTAAAAAAAAAATTAGATATTTATGAAAAAAATATACCACAGGAAGCAAATCATTCAAAAATAACAAATCATATAACAAAAAACACGGGTTAT